CAATACACAAAAAGTAAAGGGTGGGGGAAAATCAAGGATACAAATCTTGTCTCCTTAAAAGAATCATTTTTGAAACTTTGCACTTTTTTAAATTGTTGGGGTGGGGGTACCCAAGTGGAGTGGAAAGTTGAAAGGCGAAGGGGCCACAATGTGGTGGCAAGAAATAAATTCACTGCACATTAGCAGAACATGCAATCTCGCAATTGGTGGTAAAGTTTATTTCAACTTTAGTAAGAATAATTAAGTCATGTAAGTGTCGAAGATTAGAGGTGTTACTAAAGAGCGACATACAGAGAAAAGAAGGAGGAGAGATAATGAGGACAGGCGTTTGATAGGAAAGAAGGAGCACACTACATTAGAGCACCAGCCAACCACACACTCAATGGTGGAATAGACACACAGGAACACTTCTGCTCAGAATATTGCATTACATTTTTACTTACTGAATCGAAAACAACACAATATTTTATCTAGTGCATCTTCTTTGCTTTTTTCGCCCATTTGGATTTTTCTACCCCTCTAACAACTTGGTGCAAATTCTGACTTTGCCTTCACATACTAGGGTAAAAAACGATCTTAACATAATACAAAAACGACAAAAAATTAGCTGAGAAGCTCACTGAAGTAGAGGTGTCGGGTCCCCAAAATGATCTGCTTACAAAGAAAGTGTTTTCTTTGTGTACTGTTGTTGTCTTAAAAAGAAAAGGTAGCTATGTAATAAAAAAACAACAACTCAGATCGGAAGCGCACAGCTTAACTGTGTGGGAACCCACAACATAGTGGAGTAATTAATGGAGACATGCACACATATCACATTGATACACTTCAATCGGACAGACACGCACACCCATGTACCATTGTCACATTGTCGAACACCACCGAGCAATGCCCTACTGGGCAGTGGTTGTAAACTTACTCAAGGAGAAACTTCAGAGGTCACTCCTCCAAAACCTGTTGCCATCAAACATAGTTTGACAGTCAGGTGTGATCACAATTAACTGACCACTTGATCAATGGGAAACCAGTCACAGTCATTGCCAATATAATTTTACAGGCAGTCATTTCAACCATTTTAGTGGGTTATTAGCTCTATAGCTGAGTTGACAAAGACCTTAAGCTCACAAATAATGTCAAGCAAGGTCATAGTACACAATCTTGTGGGTGGTGATTAAGGTGTCCATCCTTGCAGGATATACAGAGTCCGATAACAGAGCACTAAACAGTGGTTATCAGAAAAGGTACACCTGTTAAATTGTCTATATTTGGTGTGCTATTGCGTATTATGTGACAACAATGTAACCTCTGATTTATTGTATGCATACATTATAATTGTGACAGTAACCCAAATTTTCTTTGTGTCATTCCATTTACTTTGTCCTCGATACAAAGAATGTTTTGAAGAATTACCTCATCTATTTTACTTGAATCCTGCTCCGAGAGGTTCTTACGGAATTCCTGATTGATCTTATTTCTTGTTTCTGAAATTTAAAAAAAAAACAAAAAAAAACATCACATGTAGATAAGGGAAGAAGACTCATTACCAAATTTTTTTTTAATGAGGGCGATAAAAGAATTGTCCGATAAGTCATCATTATATTCCATCCATATTTTTTGCCAGGAACAGAATAGGATCAACGACAAAGCACCGGAGTGACTGCCAAGCTGACTTAAAAAATATATGTGTCACGATGCGGTGGAATCCACAGAGAAAAGTGTTCTTTAATGGGCATGAAAGGTGTTGAGCCAAAAAAAGAAAATTCGATAAACATTCACAAACCTGTGGAAAAATGCCAGTTTCTTCATTTAGCCTATATTATTTTGACAAATGCCTGATTTCACCATGCTGCCTCACATATGCTGTGTGTGTGTGTGT